TTGACGCTCGTCCCTTGGCCACGCTGACTACTTTTCTACTCTCACGTGGCGGCCCTCTGGAAGCTCATGAGTCCCTTTGTCACAAAGTGGCTGCAGCGGTTCTAGACCAGACAGACTCACTCAAAACTATTTAAGCAAATGTTTCTGTCTCTTCTGATGGGTTCTGCTTAAGACAGAGTATGCTTCTTGCCTGTGAATCCAGCAAATGCCTCCCTGTCTCTCTGACTGTGTGACTTTCCATCCCTCAACCAATATTTTGGCCAGTGGGTGGTTTATTAGAGCTGCTTAAGCCAGTCGAGACCTACATCTAGGTGCTCAATATCATCCAAATCACTTGGCTGGGACTGGGGTGGTGTGGTTCCTGCAAAGCAAAATCTGAGTAGTTTTGACAGGAATAGAGGAAAACAGATGCTATGGAAGAAACAAAAAAATGCACAATAAGAAAATTTGCCTTGCAATATTGCTGTGACTATTAGAGACAATGGCTGCAAAATTTCTGGCGTAGTGCCTGGCACATAGCAGGTAATCAGTAAATGACAATTACTGTTCCCGGGATTGTCATCACTATCATCATCATCACTTATGGGGTGTTCAAGGCGTCATAGTCGAAGTGATGTTGAAGCATAGAATGCTAGAGTGAGAAGGGACATGAAAGATAATCTAGTCTCATTCTGACATTTTATGTCTGTAGAATTGCAGATTGTAGAGATGAAGGGACTTGCCTAAAGTCACCCAGCTGGCAGCCCCTTCCCCTGGATCTCTCTTTTCTTCTCCCTTCAGTCTCATACTCCCGTGGTGACCCAGAAAATTGGGGCAAAAAATACTCCTAATGTCATGTCTTTAACTTCCCTCTCTCAGAGCGTAATTACTGGATGTTTTTAATTTCTCAAAGTTCTCTAACTAAATAAATTGAAACACATTTTGAACCTTTTCCTAACTCACAGTTTCTTGGCAAAGTTTCACACTGGAGACAAGAAATTCCATGGGGAATTAGGTCCCTTGATCACAGCTTGTGGTTCAATTTATTTTAAATAGTTCAAGCATGTTGATATTGAAAAACAATCCTCAGTCTTCTAGCAAATGAGTGGGTTTTCTAAACTGAAAAACAGGACCTGACACTCCCTCATTAGTTGTTTTCTGTAGCTGCTTTTCTGTTTCTAAACGACTGATCTAGAGATTGGCCTTGGGACTGATTTCCTGAATCCTTCCCTTTGTGACTTCTCCACACCACCATAGGCTGTTAATTTTCTAATAGATCACAGAAACCAGGAAATTTTGTTGTGTGGAAGCAAGATTAACACTGTTAACTGGCAATAACGATCACAAAATCAAAATCACTAGAAAGGAATCTTGGTATCATGGAGACAGTACCTCAGCAACTTGACCAAAAACTATCTGTGTGAGAAGTCAGCTAAACTCTGGCCCTTAGTTGCTCCATCTGTAAACTAAGGAGATTGGATTAATGGTCTACAAATTTCCTTTCAGCTCTAAAGTTTATTTGGTTTCCCCTGATGAAGTGGCTTAGCCCACTGGGGGCCTTCGATGCAGAGGAAGGAGCCTGGTGGAAGAGTTTTGTTGTGAAGAAAGCATCCTGTGTTCCAGGGCACAACCCTACAGTCTCCTCAGCCCAGGATATCCCTTTAAGTGACAAGCTCTCACAACGAAGAGGCAATTTTTCCTGAGCCTAAAGAGAAGAAACTTCACGTTCAACTCCTTGCTCTAAGACTGAGCATTCCCCAAACAAGGTAGGGAATGCCATACCCAGAGGTTTTCTCAGGTTGACTGAAAATGAAAGGCTACAAATCGCTGTGTGATCTAGGGTGAATCACTTTCCCTCCCTGAGCCTTAGTTTCTGCCTGTGTAAAAAGGAGAGGATTGGAGGGAATGTGTCCTAAAGTTCTTTTTGGTATTCACATTCTGGGATTCCGTGAAGTACCACTTGAAGGTCCAGAGTGAGTCATGGAAAGGATGCCCTTGTGATGTGAATATGAGCTCACAGCAATAGGTTTTCCAGGCTCTCTATCACTTTATTATTTTGTTCTTTTCAGATTTCTGTCTCTGAGGCTTTATGTCAGGGGATAAAATTCTACCTAGTTAGGGTCCAGACCATCACTTATCTACCTAGGCTTTTACATGTAATATCATGCAGAGGGAACAATATATGTAAAGAGCAAGTTTGGAAGAATGATATATATTTCAGAAGAGCTGGAATGTAGGCTCCAGGAAATGTGATGACAATTGAAGCTAGATAAATGAACAAGCTCCAGTTCTTATGCGCTGTGCTAATACTGTTGGATTTAATCTTGTAGGCAAGGGGAAACCATTGATAAATTTCAAGTCAATGCATAACTTGTTCAAATTTGCATTTAACAGTATAGAAATAATAATAATAATAATAACTTGCATTTATTGAAGGCTCGCTATGGGCTGAATACTCTGTGTCTTACTGTATTTAACAGAAAGATCACTTAAATTTCCAGTGTTGAAAGCTGAGATAAATGAACTAATGTTGAAGGAACCAGGCAACGTTTCCTAGACAATGGACATTATAGAGTGGGTAGGACTTGGAGAGAGAGGCAAAGAGAGGCAGGCTCACGGTGTAATGTGAAAAATAAAAGGGATGCTCTTGTGGTGGGTAACAGTTGTGTTCATGAGAAGGTGAGGAGACCTCTCAATAGAACAATGACGTGTTGTTTAGTGGCCAGTAACATTGGTTTGAAGGAATATGGGGAAGTACTTTGGAAGGTTCTAAAAGTCAGATAGAGGAATTTAGGCCTGATTTCCAGGAAACTGGGAGACAGTGGTGGTTTCTGAGTGATCCAAGCAGAGGGAGACTCAGTAAGAATTTCGACTTCAGTATAAAGAATAAAGTGGGGAGATGAAGACTGGAGACACCTGGAGACGGTTGGAGCACATAAAGGCTGCGGTCATCCTCACATGAGCTTATATCCCACCTGAAGATGGAGGCTCCAGGAAGACAGAGGAAGGAACTGGTAATATCCACAGCATGTGGGGATTGTGTAAATATGGGAAATGCAGGAGAGGCATGAGTTAGAGTTGACTCTAAGGTTTCCAGCCTGAGGGCCAGGGAGAATGGTGGTGCTGCTGTAAGACTAGGTGTGAAGAGGAGTTCTGTCAGTCACCCCTGCTGGGAGATAATGACAGATTCCATAGCCCAGTCTCACCAGCTGCGGCTCTCACCTCTGTACGAATCCCTACCATGGGATGGAGGAAGAAAGGGAGATCCCCATTCCTCACACTCTGCTCAGTATCCCACATAGCTTCTTCATCTCTCATGTTCCAGAGATGGTAGCACTGACACGTTCCCAATAACTTGCAGTTTCCTGGAATGTTCCTGCTATTCACAGGGAAGGTATAATAAATGGATTTGGGTAGGTTTTGTACCAACCAGTGGTCTTGATATCATTTCTCTCAGGTATGGGAGGGCCTCACCCCTTTCTCCTCTGGCTGAGGCATGGAGGCTTTCCCTTCCATTTGAGATAGGCATGGGTTTCAGCCTTGGCTCAATCACTTACAAGCGATATTTATTTGGGCAAGTTACTTAACCTCTCTGAACTGCAATTTCCTCATCTATCAATTAGTTACCTCAAAGTGGAACAGGGAGAATTAAATGAGGGAACGACTGTAAAGTGCTTACCACAGTCCAGCACACAATGGATACTAATAAAGGGCAGCAGTGTCTGCTGTTGTGGTTCTTGGAATGACAATGAAAATGGTGACCATCAGGTAACCACATGCTTTAGTTTCCTTCAGACTGCCAAACTATAGCACAGCCTCTTTGGTTGGTTCTTGATGTCTTGTTTACATTCCTCTGCACCAATAAGGGAGCCCCATCTGGTTTCCTCTCTCTTGTTCAGTCATTCTTCTTGGGTGCCCTTCTTTTATTCCATGCAATCCCCCTTTTCTTCTCTGGTTTTAGCGAGGTGACTTGCTGAGGATTCTCTTAGCACTTTTTCAACTAGTGAATGTCTTCAAATTCTCATGAGGAGAAAAGTTGGCCAGGGGAGGTATTTAATCTATTTCAGTATTGAAGCACAAGTGGAAGAAGGGAAAATAAGAGGAATAAGGAATATTTCAAAGTAGTTTTAAAAGCAGAGAAAAGTCTTGAGATTTTTCTCTGCCTCATTTTATAAATGTGCTGTTAAGTTGCATGACTTTTCAAGCTTCCTGAGAGCAAAAGCCATCTTTCTTTCTTCCTTCATGTGTCCTGAATCGCATAGGCATATAGTAGGTGCTTAATAAAACATTTGGTCAAAGAATTGAATTAAAATAAATCCTCACCTGCTGCTAACAAAAATGTTTGCCAATGGTGGTAAGACTGGAAGGCAGAAACAAGCAGACTGGCGAATCCCCATATGTTATGTTTGAATTATTGTTCGAGAGTGAGCTATATTCTTAACAACTTCTACATGTCCATTTGGTCCCGGGTGTCAAAATTTTCTCAAAATGTTTGTAAAAATTTATGAAACTGTGGGATTGGGCAAAATCATAAGGCCTGATAGAATTCAGAAACTTTATATAGTTCATGTAAGGAAAATATTGAAGACACTCTTTAGAAAGGCAGAAATATTAATGAGATTGGCATTTCTGGGAAATAATTGGAGGAAACGAGGGATCCAGGAGGAGAAGATCATTTGAGAATTTCTAAAACAAAGGCATGATGAGAAAACACTGAGAACAAGAGAATTGTTAGTAATTAATATGGATGCTTATTAATACTGAAAGTGTTGATTATTTTTTCAGTGTGGTATACTTGAAATAACATACTACTTTGAATGAAATGATCTGGTTCTTGTTCTGCATTCATTTCTTTTTTTTTCTTTCTTTTTTTGAGGAAGATTAGCCCTGAGCTAACTAGTGCCAGTCCTCCTCTTTTTGCTGAGGGAGCCTGGTCCTGAGCTAACATCGTGCCCATCTTCCTCTACATTTTTTACATGTGGGATGCCTACCACAGCATGGTGTGCCAAGCGGTGCCATGTCCGCACCCGGGATCTGGGCCGGCGAACCCCGGGCTGCCGAGAAGTGGAACGTGCGAACTTAACCGCTGCGCATCGGGGCCAGCACCTGCATTCATTTCTTAATGGGGGCCTTGGCTAGTTCATAACCTCTCTGAGTCTCAGTTTTCTCACTTGGGATTTGGGGATGACAGAGTTTTTGTGAGGTAGATTGAATAGTGTCTTGCATGGGGTGGGCTATTGTGCAGTGAATGGATAAACATTTGCTATATTAACAAACAAACAAATAAATAAATCAGTCAGATGTTACATGTGAAAGGGTTCCATCAATAGGCAAATGCTAAATAAACATGAAAAATTGGTGTTATGATTGTATTTGTTTTGTCACAGGGCTCTTCTCTGAGATCTGACTTCTTCAAGTGAAATCCATGGCCAGTACAAATAACGTGACTGAGTTAATATTCACTGGCCTTTTCCGGGATCCAGATGTGCAGAGAGTGTGTTTTGTGGCATTTCTCATTGTGTACTTGGCCACAGTGGTGGGCAATGGCCTCATCGTTCTGACGGTTAGCATCAGCAAAAGTCTCAATTCCCCCATGTACTTCTTCCTAAGCCAGCTGTCTCTGGTGGAGATCAGTTACTCCTCTACGGTTGTCCCTAAATTCATCACAGACTTACTTGCCAAGATTAAAACCATCTCCCTGGAGGGCTGTCTGGCTCAGATATTCTTCTTCCACTTCTTTGGAGTCACTGAGATCCTCCTGCTTGTGGTGATGGCCTATGACCGCTATGTGGCCATCTGCAAGCCTCTTCATTATATGAACATTATGAGCCACCAAGTGTGTCAAGTACTGGTGGCTGGTTCCTGGCTGGGAGGCTTTGTTCACTCCATAATTCAGATTCTCATCACCATCCAATTGCCCTTCTGTGGTCCCAATGTGATTGACCACTACTTCTGTGATCTCCAGCCATTGTTCAAGCTTACCTGCACTGACACCTTTGTGGAGGGGGTTATTGTGTTGGCCAATAGTGGCTTAATTGCTTTGTGCTCCTTCCTCATCTTGGTGACATCCTATATTGTCATCCTGGTCAACGTTAGGAACCATTCTGCAGAGGGAAAGCGCAAAGCCCTCTCTACCTGTGCCTCTCACATCACAGTGGTCATCTTGTTCTTCGGACCTGCCATCTTCTTCTACATGCGACCCTCCTCCACCTTCACTGAGGACAAACTAGTGGCTGTGTTCTATACTGTCATCACCCCAATGCTGAACCCCATCATCTACACACTCAGAAATGCTGAGGTGAAAATGGCCATGAGGAGGTTGAGGGGCAAAAAGGAAAACGTAGGGATGGAGTGAAAATGTGAAAGTGAATAAAAAATGTGTGTCTGATTATTCCCTGTTCTTGAAATGGATTTTGATTTTAGTGGGACATTCACACATGGCGGAAACAAATATAAGGACTTAACGTAACTGCTGATGTGATTGTCCTTAGTAACCAAAGACTATGCTATGTTTATCTAGTGTTCCAAGGGACAGAGGTCAGACTGGCTCGATGATATCCAACAATATACTGGTATTAGGTAACATGAAGACTCAAACTAAGTGCAAATGCAAAGGAGAACATCTTGACAAATATTTTGTAGGTTATTCACTTTTTCCTCTGACCACCATCCATGCTTTCTTCTTTCCTTTCTTCCTTCCTTCCTTCCTTTTCCTCCCTTTGTTCAATCTCCCTCATGATAACAACCTAGATTTCATTAAGAAAGGAAACCAAATAGAAGAATTGTTGGTGGATATTTTGGATGAGGGTACCAATCTGTTCTCTTCCAATGTGGACAAGAGCATCTTTGAAAATTGAGTGCATAAATTTTTCTATTCTCCTGGTTGGTTCTTGGCATCTTGTACCATAGACTATTTGATCACAAGTATTTGAAAAATCCCTGGAGCAATTTTAGTTCTTGTGACATGTTGGCACAAAAGATAGTCCTTAAGTCTCTGTGAGTCCTCTTGCAATGTTCAACTTCCCTGAACAACAGCGAAATATCAAAATGCCATAGATCCTAGCTATCAACAGGGAAAGATCAAGTCAACCTTTTTAACAAAAAGGATATCTCTTTCAGCTTAATCAGATGTAAAAAAAACCACAGAGTGTAGAAAATGCTTTTAGGCTTAAATTGAAGAATGCAGTGGAAGGAAATACTGTCCATGTATGTTTCTACTCCAGACTCTGTCCTTTATTCTAAGTGAACATGCCAAGTCCATATCTTTTCATGCCTATTGGTGTTTCTTGGTGAAGTGAAATGAGACAGTCTGTGTCTACAATGTTGTTTCACCTCTCATCATTGTGAACACCCCATATCATTGTGAACAATTTAGAGAATATTGAAAAATTGGAACTTGCTGGCTTTGGAATTACACAGAATGGCTTTGCATTTGCCCTCAGTCCTTCCACCTCTCCTTGAGGATCAGATGAAGTACTGCAAGCAGCTTCCTTGTAGAAGGATGGGGCATCACAGTTGTGCTATAGGCCTTAGGGACTTTTCTCTTTCTCCTTAGTGCTTAGGTTGAGCAGATAGATGAATAGTGGTTTTAAAGGGAACAGGAAATCTTCCCACTTCCCTTGGTGTCCCCACTAATTATGGCCATGGATGGCCATCAATATTCCCTTAGTAAATACCACTTCTACGTGGAATGACTTTACCACCTCTTTCCTTATGGCAAAATCCTACGTATCCTTCATGTCCTAGATTAAACTCATCTCTCTTATGAGGCCTTCTCTGTCCTCCCTCCTCCTTGGCTTGAATTTGTGTCTCCTGTGCATGGTTATTTTTACATACTTTTCTCATTGCCCTTATCACTTTGATTGTATTATTTAACGTGTGCTTCTCTCTCAGTAGACTGTAACCTCTCAAGGGCAGGACCATCCACTAACCTCCTTCTTTGCAGCTCTAAATATCATGCACATAGACAGCTGGTGCTTCCTAAGTGCTTGCTGAACAAACAACCCTTCAGGCCCATGGGGAATCCTTTCTAGATCAGTTCTTACTGATTCTTTCTGAATCCATTTCACAGTGTGGAGCACTTCTCTTATTGTTTAAATATGAAGAGCTCAGGCTCTGAAATTCATCAGGCTGTTCCAACTGCCTCTCAGCCACACCCCAAGATCCAAGCTGCTTAACTTCTCTGAGCACCTGTTGTTGCAGAAGTACAATAAGATTAAAAGTAGTATGAACTTCATAAGATTATTCTGAATATTAAATAAGATAATATACATGTAAAAGTTTTAGTAAAGAACATAGTATAGAGTTGTGATGTGGACTCAATAAATATCACCATCATCATCATTATCATTACTACTGGTGATTAATTTTATTTTACACGAGAACAGTATGTCTGTCCACACATAGGTCTTCTTTTAGTCCTTTTGAGCTACTCAAAATAGGCCTTGATTGCACCCCAAAAGGCTTTCAAGTGTTTGAAGGCCATTCAATCCTTCTGTTTTGAGACTTCTTTCAGCTGAACATTCTCTGTTGTTTAATTTCTTTCGAGTGCCTCATACAGTACCTGCCATGTTGTAGGTGCTAAATAAATATTTGTTAAATAGATATCAACTGTAACACAGCCTCCCCATTATCTTTTATGCTGAATGTACTTATATTCCGTCAATGTGTACTTTAGGGCAATCAGGTCTGGAGCTAAACTCAGTGGACCTACCCTCCCTTTCTCTGGATGCCTTACTTGTATTGCAGCACGGTAGGCCTTCAGGGTGTAGACTGGGACAGGAGCCCCTTACTCATGTGCACGTTTGGTTTCCTCCCTGAGAGCTATGGAAAGAACATCATCAATGAGCTCTGAGTCATTGGATACTGCGTGGGCAGATAATATCTACTGTAACTGCACTGTCAAAATTCTCTGGGATTACCTCACCTACTGAGGGTGGAGAATCAGTAGGTCTATTGAGAGCTAATTACTCATTTTGTTCTGGTCTCACTGGAAACACACAGGAACCAAAGGGAAGCATTTTTCCCATTGCTTTAAGAGACAGAGAGTGTTGTAACGTTTTAAAAATGCCTACTCAAGCCACAGAAGTAGTAACAATCTAATTATACCATTTAGCATTGGAGACCATGTAGCTACTTTTCTCTTGTTGATTCTGTCATAGCATTAAAAAAATGTAATGTTTTAGGCAATAAACATAATGTAATCTCATTAAAGAAAAACTGGTAACATGCTGCAAGCTACCTTGCATAAACAATTTGTATTTTTTCCCCCATTTATTATTTGTGTCCTTTTAGGTAAGGTTTGATGGCATATAACAGAAAAAACCCAACTTATGAGATAGAATTACAAAAGTACAGAGATGAAAAATCCAGCACTGTTGTGGAGGTCCAACAATGTTATCAGAAATCTACACTCTGCCATCTTCAGTCTGTAGCTTCAACCTCATGACCTCAAAGGGCTGCCAGTGCTCCATATGAGTGCTGTCCAGTAGAGCTTTATGCTGTACTGGAGATGTTCTATGTCTGTGCTGTCCAATAGGGTAGTGAAATGAGTAGTTGACATGTGGTTAGTTAAACCAAGGAACTGGATTTTACATATTACTTGAATTTTGATAAGTTTAAATTTACATACTGCATGTGGCAATTAGATGCATATTGCACAACACCACTCTAGCATTTCATCTATATTCCAAGAAGAAGTAAAGAGGAAGGAAGGAAGATAAACTGGTCACTTTCCCTTTTAAGAGGTTTCCCAAAAGTGCCACACAGCAATTTTGCTCTCATCTTATTTGATTGAAAGTAATCATTTAGGAACCCTTAATTGCAAAGCAGACTGGCAACTATAATCTTTATTCTGTGTGGAATTGTCTTTAAAAATCAGAGTTATGTTCTTTTCCTAAAGAGGAAGGGAAGAATGGATGTAAGGACTGGCATATATTCTCAGGCAGTGTATTACATACCAATTTCCAGAGCAATTAAAAATTTTCATAAAAGATTTATAATTGCGTGGTAGTATTCAAAGTCCAGTTGTAGCATAATTTTCTTAATCAATCACTCATTTCAGGGCTTTTAGATTCATTTAATAATTCATTCAACAAGACTTAATGAGCGTGTAGTATGTGCCAGGCATTGTTCTAAGTTTTAGGGACACACAGAGGTACATGAGACACAGAAGGTCCCTGCCTACGTGGGGCTTACATTTTAGGTAAACATTCTGCTTTCTTAAGTTCCTGTGGTCTAGATCAGCATTGTTAATAGAAGTTTCTGTGATGATAGAAATGTCCTATATCTATGCTAACGCATGGTAGTTCTTAGCCATGAGGCTAATTAGTACTTGAAATATGCCTAGCATGACTGGAGAACTGAATTTTTAATTTTATTTAATTTTAACTAACTTAAATTTAAATAGCTACATGTGTCTGGTGGCTACCACATTGGATAGCACAGGTCTACAACAGTTTAGTACTTACCTCTGCTGCAAACTTGTGGCTGTTTCTCTGGATCACGGGCAAGATTGCTCCTGCGTACCAGTACCCAGCTGTGGCTGAATACTTTTGTCTCATCTCTCACTAACCAGTTCTTCTAATTGTATTGCAGTTATAGTTATTTTTATACATTTGTTTTTTAACTTTTACCAGACTGTAATTGATTTACGTATCACAATTACAATATGAATCTGACTTTATACTTGCCTTTATCAATGAGTTTTACACGTTCATATGTTTTTAGTATGTTAATTAGTAAAATGTTAATTTCATTTCATCTTGTAGAATGTCCTTTAGCATTTCTTGTAAGACATCTCTAGTAGTTATGAACTCCTTCAATTTTCATTCGTTTGGGAAAGTCTTTATCTCTCCTTCATTTCTGAAGGACAGACTTACTGGATATGGTATTCTTGGTTGACAGTTTTTTTCTTTCAACATTTTAGAAAATACCATCCAATAGCTCATAGTCAAGTGTGTCCTCAGGCTGTGCTCCCCAATTGGATGGTGCCACTGGTTGTGCTTTGTGTTTAGGTGGGGCCTCAGGCTGTTTCCTGAAGTTGAGTAGGGCTGCAGACTGTGCTCCATGGTTATGTAAGGTTGCTGCCTGGTTGGGTGGGGCTGCAGGTTATGACCTGTGATTGGGCAGTTCCCTGCCTAGTCAAGGCTGAAGGTGAGTTTAGCAATTAGCTAGACCTGTATGCTTGGCTCTGCTGCTGGGTAGAGTTGTAAGCTGGGCTCCATTGTTAGGTGGTACTTAGATTGGGCTCTGAGGCTGCTCAGGGTTACTGTTCATTCTGGTTATGCTGGGCCAGAGGCTAAGCTCAACAGTTGTACAGGGCTGCTGGCTTGGCTCCCTGTCTGGACAGGCTATAGAATGTGCTGCATGGCTACCAGGTGTCTATAGCCATGCTTTCCAGAGGGACAGGACTGGAGGCTATGCTCAGTAGTTGGGCAGGACAGTGAATATGCTCCTCTTCTCTGGAGGACCAAAGGATGTGCTCCATGGCTGCTGGGTATCTGTGGCCTTGCTTCCCAGAGGGTGCACTGGAGACCATGCTGTGCAGTTGGACGAGACTGGAATTTTCTTACCTGCCCAGTGAGGGTCATAGAACAGGCTCCACAGTTGGTTTGGCCCATTGGCTGGGGATCTGAATTAGGCAGAACTGCCAACTGAGCTCCCTGGCCAGACAGGGACACTGGCTTGGCTATGCAGATGGGCAGATTCACTGGCTGGGATTTCTGCTTGGGAGCCACTGCAAGCAGGAATTTTGTCTTCCAAGATCCGAATGCTGGTTACTATAAGCCTCATCCCCTTTTCTGTCTCTATATGATCCCCAGTGTTTTAACTCTGCAGGTTCACACAGTGATCCCCATGAGGTGAGACCTGAGTGGGCCTCCTGGGAAGTGTCCCACAATGCTGGAGAAGCTGGATGTCTGCCTTGGGTTCTCTTTTCTTGCTGGAGAAACTATAGGCCCAGGGGGACCCTCTCAGTGCAGTGCAGTGCAGTTGGTCTGGGGAGGGGCAATGCAGTTGATGTTAAATTGCTCATCTTAACCTTCCAAAGCAATCATTCTTGATCTCTATTGTCTAGAGAGGAGTGCTTCAGCCTCACCTTTGGGCTCTGAGATTTATGGGTAATTCCTGGTTGGTCTTCTTGTCAGGGGAACTGAAATTAGGAATAACCTGTGTCACCACATTAATGAAATCTATGGGAGATTTTGAAAGGCAACTTCACTTAAAATGTCCCAAACAAGAGGCTGGCCCAGTGGTATAGTGGTTAAGTTCATGTGCTCCCCTACAGTGGCCTGGGGGTTCTGAGGTTTGGATCCTGGGCACAGACCTAGCGTTGCTTATCAAGCTATGCTGCAGTGGCATCCCACATAAAATGGAGGAAGACTGGCAACAGATGTTAGCTCAGGGCCAATCTTCTTCACAAAAAATAAATAAAATAAATAATAAAAATAAAGGGTTGGAGGGAAAAAATATTTAAAAAAATCCAAAACAAAATTCTTGTTATTCCCTGCTGTTCTGGTTCTCCCACAGCCATTTGTATCTCAGTAAAGGCTAACTCTGGTCTGACTGCTCAAGTCTGTTATATATATATAGTATAATTGATATAACATTATATTTGTTTAGTTTCAGGTGTATAACCTAATGATTTGATACTTGTGTATTTTGCAATGTGATCACCACAGTAAGTCCAGTTAACATCTGTCACCATACATACTTACAAATTTTTTTCTTATGATAAGAACTTTCAAGATCTACTCTCCTATTTATTTTCAAATATGCAATACAGTATTATTAACTATAGTCATCATGCTGTACATTACATCCTCAAGACTAATTGATTTTATAACTGGAAATTTGTACTTTTTAGCTCCCTTCATCCATTTTGCCCACTCCCCACTCACTGCCTCAGGCAACCACCAATCTGTTCTCTGTATCCATGGGCTCATTTGTGTTTGTTTTGTTTTGTTTTTAGAGTCCACATATAAGTGTGATCATATAGTTTTTATCTTTTTCTGCCTCACTTATTTTATTTTGTTTGCTCAAGTCTAAAACCTTGGTGGTATCCTTGATTCCTCTCCTTCTTTTCTCTCTTTTCAACCAAAACATCAGCAAATCTTATTACTTCTACCTTCAAAATTTATCCAGAATCTGACAACTTCCTAAAGCCTTCACTGCCGTAGTCCTGGCCTAAGTAACAATCATCTCTTGATTGGATTACGTGATCTTCTCCTATCTTGTTTCCTATATTTCCCACTTCCCCTTCCTTATTCTTAAGACAGCACACAGATCTTGACAAGAGACGACCTCTTCTTACTACCCTAATAAAACAATACCCAGCAGCATTCACTATTATCCTTAACCTGTTTTATTTTTCTTCTAGGACTTATTACTGGTTGACTTACATATCAAGTTTTATTTTTTTTTTTTGTCTTTTTCTACCTGCATTATCTTGTTGGGGATATGAAGGATGTAACCTCCTGTATCACAGACTTTGTTTTTTCAGTGTTGATTCTCCCACACCCAGAAAAGTGCTTGGCACGTAATAGGATTCAATCCTATTTGTTGAATGAACATTTGAATGAATGGATGGATGAATGACACCTCTGTCTGAGGAAGTTCTCACTAGATTACATTACTATTGCCACTATCCTTATTGATGGAGAGGCTGAGGTGCAGGGAGACTAAGAAACTTATACATGAATCCATGAGTGTTAGATGGAGAGTATAATGGAGATAATCTAGCCCAACTCTGCCATTTTATATAGAAGTGGGAACAGGGGAGGGTGAGAAGTGGAGAGGTGAAACGATGTGGCTTAAGTTAGATAGCTAATCAATTATTGAACCAGAGCTAGTGCCCAGTGACCTGGCTCCCTGTCCAGTGCTCATTTTCTTCTCTATTCATCCTCCTTTCCATTCTCAGTATTTCAGTCTGGAAAAAGTTCCCTTTATGTCTTTCCTTCAACTTTCTTCTCTTACTGCCTCATTCTTGGGTGAAAAACTTTATAGAAATCTCACTAAACTGAGACTTATCCTAAGTCATAGTTTAATTGGCAAACTTCCACCCAAGATAAAAGAAATTCCATGGGGAAGTTGTTCTCTTCATTATAGTGTAGCTTAATTTATTTCAAATAGTTCAAGGATCTAATCATTGAATCATAACCCTTGGACTTTTAGTGGGTGGGCTGGTTTTCTACATCAAAATCAAGATCTTAAAATCTCTCAGTTTTCTGCTTTTTGTGGCATTTGTCTATTTCTTAGATATTATAAATTCAAATATCAACCTAGATCCAGATCACCTGAATTTCCGTTTTTTTGTGATTCATCGTAGACATCATCTACTTCATTTTCTAAAAGCTCCCAGGGACAGTGGTGATTTGATGTTAGGGACAAAGTCTGATCCTTGAATCACAGTAATAACCACCGCCCAGTACCATCAGAAGGCAGCTGAGTGCTGTTTAAAGAGCACTGATTTCTGGGTTAGTAACCTGGGAAATATCTATTGTGTGGCCCACAAAGCCAGTTAACCTCTCAGCCTCTGTCATCTCTTTTATGAACAGATGAGGTCAGAGTACAAGGTCTCTAAATCTTTCAGCACAACTCATAGCTGAGTGTGACCTGGACTTTGCTCACTGGGGGACTTCAGTGAAAAATCAACTAGTTGCATAATATTAGCCAAGGAACCCTGCTTGTCCAGGGACTAGGATTCCCAGAGAGAAATCCAACGCTTCATCCAATCTCAGTTTTCCAAAACCAGATCATCTCCTGGAGTAATGATCTGTTCCAGCAGAGTGGCTAACTTCATGCCAAATTGGAGGCACTTGAGTGTATTTGAGATCCGTCTGATCCAATTCCTCATTCTAAGGCAGAAGGAAACCATGCTAGTTTTTCAGATCTAAAGGTAGGTGATATGGCTAGAAGTAAGGTGCAAAGTCTCTAAGCAGCCATAGGATGTTGGGAAATCAGTTACTCTTTTTGAGCCACAAGGATTCATTTGTAAAATGAGCTGGTTGGGTTTGAAGATATTTTTTAAATAATTAATTCAACTTATTTGTATATTTTTATTGTGTGTAAAATTATACAAAATATAAAATTTGATGAATTTAAAGCACTTTACAATTCTGGGATTCTGTGAGATACCATTTGGGAATTATGAAGGGGGGAGCTCGTGACTGAAATTGACGTTTCACTACTTCACCCTGAGATCAGTCACATCAGCACGTCAAGTTCTCTCTTATATTTATCCTGGCCATTGTTTTCAGTCTATAATTATGCTCTGGTCCAGAGTCCAGCAGGTCACATGATGGAGAGTCTAAATGCTCAAATACTGATTTAGGCACTTACATGCTGGTCACATTTTCTTTCTAGGATTCTTGATGAGGCTGCATTGTGTGGAGATAGGAGATATTTCTTACCAGTTCAGTGCAGGAGATGATGAAGATTGGTGAGGGGTGTGGTATCAGACAGAGGAATAAATACAGAAAAGGCAGAAATTACGGAAGAGGAAAAGGTGACTTTCAAAGAGGAGGCCAGGAGTTATTCCTTCTGTTAGGGATGAAGGTTGGAAAAACTGGATCCTTCATGATTCCTCTCATCTCTGAGTAATCTCTCAGATTGATCCTAGGATATTTTCATTAGTTTCTCTAATTGATCAAAAATCGAGTTCATACTCATATACGAAATATTTGTATGCGTTGGTGAACACATATAACTTGGACTTCTAACAAAAGGGCATATTTAATTTCAGCTCTACATTTACGTGTTGTAATCCTAGAAATTGTATAGGGCAGTGGTTAGACAGCATAGGATCTGTGGTTAGATTGCTTGGATTGAAATCTTGGCTCCACTGCTGTGCAACCTTAGACCAGTTATCTGGGCTTGTTTTTCTCATTTGTTATAAAAGGGGTGATAATAGTAATACCCACATCACAGTAGAGTTGAATGAATTAATGTGTATAGAACACATAAAGTATGTGGCACATGGTACTATTGAAATACTAGCTGTTATTATCAACCAAAATGCACTCAGTAATAAAGGTTCAAGAAAAATATTAAGCAGATGATTTTGAATACTAGGATAGTATATTTCTTAGATATAGACACTAGAGTTGCAATTATAGAGAATCTATTAATTGCTGTAAAAGAAGTATGATAAATTTCTGTAGGAGCAAGAGGGGGAGAATATATTATTCTTACAGTGAGGTGAGGATCTTCATGCAATATAGAGGAAGGAATACCAAACACACAAAAGGGAGAAAGGACACCTTGAGTTAGGAAATAGCTGTATTATGTTCATTTAGGGAATGACAATAAGGGTGCAAAAATAGGCAGTGGCCAGTTCAAGAAGGACCTAGAATCCATGCTAAGTATATTGGAATTAATGCTGTGGGCAATGGGGTTGTGTTGATAGATTTTAGGTAAAGTAGTATATGATATAATATGCATTAAAGGAAAATCACCAAAGTATTTGCAATGCTCAGAGAACAGGAGATTCACGTGGGTTGGTGTATTAAAGACAATCTTCACTGAACACATGAGACTGGAGTTGGGCTTGGAAGGAGGGTAGGTTTGGAAAGAACAGGTGAGGGCATTTCAGTGAAGGGAGGTTCAGTGGTGGAATAGAGCGGGTAGGCTTGTGGGATGTGGAGATGACCCTGAGTTGAACAGAGGTGAGGTGAAGTTTAGTGGGTAAGTGGGTGGTTGTTGAGGTGGTTTAGTCTGTGCAAGTCTTTAAAAGTGAGTCATAGAAGTTCAGGCTTTTCCTGGCTCATTCCCATGCGGTGGAGAATCTAAGGAAAGAAGAGTCAGGAAGCAATTTTCTTGCTGCACTGTGCAGAATGGATGGGATGGGAGCATCTGGGGACTAAGGTGCTTTGTTAATTTAGGTATCAGCTGACAGCATATGAGAGGACGTTGGCAGCAAGAATGGAGAGAAAGGGCCCAGGAGAGGTAGTTTAAAGATAAAATTCATGGGATCTGATGGGTATGGGAATGAAAGGGGGTGTGGGTAATATATGACATCCAAGCTACAGTTGGGACAGCTTGGAGGGTGATGGTGGCATCGAAGTATCTTCCAGGTGACACTTGCCCGCAGGTCTCCTGTTACTCCATAGCTTAGTCTCATCAGCTTCAACCCTAATTTCTGTCCAAATCCTTTCCTTTGGCTCATAAGTGATGATGTGGTAAAAGGAGATTCTTGAGGAGTCTCACAATCTTATCTTCTAACCATTCAGGTACTTGATTTTCCAAGGTGCTGAGATGGTGCCAGATATTCCTAATGATTTGCGAGCCCAGTGGCCACAACACTGCTCCTACGGGAAAGGGCACCACACTCTGATGAATTTAGCAATGTTGCTTGTGTTAGGTGCTGGGTATCAATGTAATTTCTCTGCTGCACCCACCTTCCTGGGAACTTTAGCTCTTGTTTGGGCAGTTTCTTTTGCTTCTGTGGAGGGCTGAATTCCTCCTTTCTTTCTGCAAATGAGTTTTATAGTAATTATATAAATTACAAAGAAAAATTCCACTGGATTTTGCTTTAGCTTATATAAACTTGTAGATAAACTTAGGGTGAGTTGAAATCATTATGTTGAATTTTATCATTTTAACATGATTTTGTAAGAAATTTTTTGCTGGATGTTATGTATTTTTTCCTTTTTATACATGTATTTTCTTATAGTCCGTTAGCAGTTTTATCGTTTTTCTCCGCATAACTGTATCACATTTTTAAGTGCTTTTTATTTAAAAAGTTTCTTGGTTATTGTAATGGGAAAATTTTTCAGTTGGGTTTTCTTTTTTTTTTATTGAGTTATTGATAGGTTACAATCTTGTGAAATTTCAATTGTACATTAATGTTTGTCAGTCATGTTGTAGGTGCACCACTTCACCCTTTGTGCCCACCCCCCACCCCACCTTTCCCCTGGTATCCACTAAACTATTCTTGGTCCGTAGTTTTAAATTCCTCATATGAGTGGAGTCATACACAGATTATCTTTCTCTCGCTGGCTTATTTCACTTAACATAATTCTCTCAAGGTCCATCCATGTTGTTGCAAATGGAATGATTTTGTTCTGTTTTGCAGCTGAGTAGTATTCCACTGTATATATGTACCACATCTTCTTTATCCATTCGTCTGTTGATGGGCACTTAGGTTGCTTCCATGTCTTGGCTATTGTAAACAGTGCTGCAATAAACATTGGGGTGCACAGGACTTTTGGGATTGCTGACTTCAGGTTCTTTGGATAAATACCCAGTAGTGGGATGGCTGGATCGTATGGTAGTTCTATTTTCAGTTTTTTGAGGAATCTCCATACTGTTTTCCATAGTGGCTGCACCAGTTTGCCTTCCCACCAGCAGTGTATGAGGGTTCCTTTTTCTCCACAACCTCTCCAACATTTGTTGCTATTAGTTTTAGATATTTTTGTCATTCTAACGGGTGTAAGGTGATATCTTAGTGTAGTTTTGATTTGCATTTCCCTGATGATCAGCGATGATGAGCATCTTTTCATGTGCCTATTGGCCATCAGTATATCTTCTTTGGAGAAACGTCTGTTCATGTCTCCAGACCACTTTTTGATTGGGTTGTTTGATGTTTTGTGGTTGAGTTGTGAGAGTTCTTTATATATTAGGGATATTAAGCCTTTGTCATATATATGACTTGCAAATATTTTTCCCAGTTAGTGGGTTGTGTTTTTGTTTCAATCCTGTTTTCATTTGCCTTGAAGACGCTCTTTAATCAGATGAAGTCCCATTTGTTTATTCTTTCTGTTGTTTCCCTTCTCTGAGAAGGCATGGTGTCCGAAAAGATCCTTTTAATACTGATGTCAAAGAGTGTACTGCCTACGTTTTCTTCCAGAAGCCTTATGCTTTCAGGTCTCACCTTTAGGTCTTTGATCCATTTTGAGTTTATTTTGGTGAATGGTGAAAAAGAATGGTCAATTTTCATTCTTTTACATGTGGCTTTCCAGTTTTCCCAGCACCATTTGTTGAAAAGACTTTCTTTTCTCCATTGTATGCCCTCAGCTCCTTTGTCAAAGATAAGCTGTCCATAGATGTGTGGTTTTATTTCTGGGCTTTCACTTCTGTTCCATTGATCTGTGCACCTGTTTTTGTACCAGTACCATGCTGTTTGATTACTGTAGCTTTGTAGTATGTTTTGAAGTCAGGGACTGTGATGCCTCAAGTTTTGTTCTTTTTTCTCAGGATTGCTTTAGCAATTCGGGGTCTTTTGTTGCCCCATATGAATTTTAGGATTCTTTGTTCTAATTCTGTAAAGAATGTCATTGGGATTCTGATTGGGATGGCGTTGAATCTGTAGATTGCTTTAGGTAGAATGGACATTTTAACTATGTTTATTCTTCCAATCCATGTACATGGAATGTCTTTCCATCTTCTTATGTCGTCAACCAATTCTCTCAGAAAGGCCTTGTAATTTTCATTATATAGGTCCTTCACTTCCTTAGTTAAATTTACCCCAAGGTATTTTATTCTTTTTGTTGTGATTGTGAATGGTATTGTATTCTTGAGTTCTTTTTCTGTTGGTTCATTACTGGAGTATAGAAATGCTACTGATTTATGCAAATTGATTTTATACCCTGCAAATTTGCTGTAGTTGTTGATTACTTCTAACAGTTTTCCAATGGATTCTTTAGGGTTTTCTATATATAAGATAATGTCATCTGCAAACAGCGAGAGTTTCATTTCTTCCCTCCCTATTTGGATTCCTTTTAGTCCTTTTTCTTGCCTGATTGCTCTGGCCAGGACCTCCAGTACTATGTTGAATAAGAGTGGTGATAGAGGGCATCCTTGTCTTGTTCCTGTTTTCAGGGGGATGGGGTTCAGTTTTTGCCCATTGAGTATGATGTTGGCTATGGGTTTGTCATATATGGCCTTTATTATGTTGAGGTAGTTTCCTTCTATGCCCATTTTGTTCAGAGTTTTTATCATAAATGGCGTTGGATCTTGTCAAATGCCTTCTCTGCATCTATTGAGATGATCATGTGGTTTTTATTCCTCAGTTTGTTGATGTGGTGTATCACGTTGATTGATCTGCGGATGTTGAACCATCCCTGTGTCCCTGGTATGAATCCCACCTGATCCTGATGTATGATTCTTTTGATGAATTGCTGAATTCTGGTTGCCAAAATTTTGTTTAGAATTTTTGCATCTATGTTCATCAGTGATATTGGCCTGTAGTTCTCTTTTTCCGTGGTGTCCTTGTCAGGTTTTGGGATCAGCGTGATGTTGGCCTCATAGAATGTGTTAGGAAGTGTTCCATCTTCCCTAATTTTTTGGAATAGCTTGAAAAGGATGGGTATTAAATCCTCTCTGAAAGTTTGGTAGAATTCCCCAGGAAAGCCATCTGGTCCTGGGGTTTTATTCTTTGGGATGTTTTTGATTGCTGTTTCAATCTCTTTCCTTGTGATTGGTCTGTTCAAATTGTCTGCCTCTTCTTGAGTGAGCTTTGGGAGATTGTAGGAGTCCAGGAATTTATCCATTTCCTCTAGGTTATCCATTCTGTTGGCATATAGTTTTTTGTAGTATTCTCTTATAATCTGTTGTATTTCTGCAGAGTCTGTTGTTATTTCTCCTCGCTCATTTCTGATTTTGTTTATTTGAGCTTTCTCCCTTTTTTTCTTTGTAAGTCTGGCTAGTGGTTTGTCAAGTTTATTTATCTTCTCAAAAAACCAGCTCTTTGTCTCATTGATCCTTTCTACTGCCTTTTTCAATTCAATAGTATTTATTTCTGCTCTGATTTTTATTATTTCTCTCCTTCTGCTGACTTTGGGCTTCATTTGTTCTTTTTTCTCTAGTTCAGTTAGGTGTGCTTTAAGGTTGCTTATTTGGGATTTTTCTTGTTTGTTAAGATGTGCCTGTATTGCGATGAATTTTCCTCTTAATACAGCTTTTGCTGTATCCCATGTGAGTTGGTATGGCATGCTATCATTTTCATTTGTTTCCAGGTATTTTTTTATTTCTTCTTTAATTTCTTCAATGATCCATTGCTTGTTCAGTACTGTGTTGTTTAGTCTCCACATCTTTGTGCCTTTCTCAGCTTTTTTCTTGTAATTAATTTCTAGCCTTATAGCACTATGCTCTGAGAAGATGCTTGTTATTATTTCAATTTTTTTAAATTTGTAGAGGCTTGCCTTATTGCCCAACATATGGTCTATCCTAGAGAATGTTCCATGTGCACTTGAGAAGAATGTGTATTCAGCTCCTTCAGGGTGGAGTGATCTATGTATGTCTATTAAGTCCAATTGTTTTAGTTTTTCATTCAGCTCCACTATTTCCTTGTTGATTTTCTGGCTGGATGATCTGTCCATTGATGTGAGTGGGGTGTTGAGGTCCCCTACTATTATTGCGTTGTTTTTAACATCTTCCTTTAGGTCTGTTAATAGTTGCTTTATGAATCTTGGTGCTCCTGTGTTGGGTGCATAGATATTTATAAGCGTTATTTCTTCTTGATGAATTGTCCCTTTGATCACTATATATTGTCCCTCTGTGTCTCTCTTTACCTGTCTTATTTTGAAATCCACTTGGTCTGATAGGAGAATTGCAACACCTGCCTTTTTTTCCTTGCTATTTGCTTGAAGTATTGTCCTCCACCCCTTCACCCTGAGTCTGTGTTTGTCCTTGGGGCTGAGGTGTGTTTCCTGGAGGCAACAAATTGTTGGATCTTGTTCTTTAATCCATTTTGCCACTCTGTGTCTTTTTATTGGAGAGTTCAACCCGTTCACATTGAGAGTGATTATTGATGCATGTGGACTTAATGCTGTCAATCTGTCACTCATTATCTTGTTTTCCTGTGTTTCTTTTCCTGTGTGCTTTAGACTACCCATTTAATACTGCAATTTCTTATGCTGGGTTTCTTAGATTTTTCCTTATCTATGATTTGTGACTCTGTTCTGTACTTTATTTTAGTGTCTACCTTGAAGTTTGTATTTAGAATCTCGTGTATAATATAGTCTATTCTCTGGTGGTCTCTTACTTACTCGACCAATACTGATTTAGACCCTTTGCTCTTCCCCTCCTAAATAATTATTTTCATTTTTTATTCCAACTCGTCTTATTAATTTGTAGTTAGAGTGCTAAGATCGTCCTTGTTTTGGTAGTTTCCTTATTTTTACCCTAATGCTATAGTTAAATATTTGCTATCCTGTTCTGGTTCTATCCATCGGCCTCCCTAGTCTGTGGATTGTGTCCCCTTTCTCCCTTTTTTCTTTTTTCAAGTATGAGAGCCTTCTTGAGGATTTCTTGTAATGGAGGGCTTTTAGTTACAAATTCCCTTAACTTTTGTTTGTCTGGAAAAGGTTTAATTTCTCCCTCATATCTGAAGGAAATTCTTGCTGGATAGAGTATTCTTGGCTGAAGGTTTTTATCCTTTAAAGCTTTGAATATATCACTCCATTCTCTCCTAGCTTGTAGGGTTTCTGTAGAGAAATCCACTGACAGTCTGATAGGGGCTCCTTTATAGGTTATTCTCTTTTTTTCCTTACTTCCCTGAGTATTCTCTCCCTATCATTCCTATTTGCCAACTTTACTATTATGTGCCTTGTGGTGGGTCTTTTTACATTGACAAATCTAGGAGATCTAAAATCCTCCTCTACACACATTTCTCTGTTGATCCCTAGATTTGGGAAGTTCTCTTCAATAATTTCGTTAAGCACACTTTCTGCTCCATTTTCCTTTTCCATATTCTCGGGAATTCCTATGATCCTTATGTTCTTACTCCTCATTGAATCCATTATCTCTCTGAGATTTTCCTCATTTTTTTAAATTCTTAGTTCTCTTTCTTCCTGTGTCTGGTGCCATTCAGCCTGTCTGTCCTCGATTATGCTGATTTTCTCCTGTAGGTTGTCTACACGGGCATTCAGGGAATCCGTATTCTGTTTTATCTGGTCCATTGTGTTTTTCATCTCAAGTAATTCTGTTTGATTCTTCTTTATTATTTCAATCTCTTTTGTGAAGTAACTCCAGAACTCAGCTTGTTTCTCTATCTTTCTCTCTACCTCATTGAGTTTTTTGATTATAGCTGCTCTGAATTCATTATCACTTAGTTTACCTAATTCCACGTCCTCAGGACTTAATTCTGTGTTTTCATTGTTTTCCTTCTGGTCTGGGGCTTTTATAAATTGCTGGATGGTAGAGGAGCGGTTTTTTCTCATAGTGGTAGAATTCAGTTGCAGTTACAGCCTGTCGCCACTAGATGGGGGTCGAGAGTGGCGTGTTAGCTCTCCGCCTTGGGGCAAGATGGCTGCGCCCACTGGCTTTGCTGGGGGCGAGGGGCTGTTACTCACACACGCTGGTCTGGGTTCAGATCAGTTCTGTTCTCTGGTCTCCCAAGGCCCTTGATTTATAGGGTGCCCACGGACGGAAGCTTTCTTCCCGTCAGCGGGTCTCCACTGAATCAGCGGCAGGAGTCCTGGATGATCCCCCGGTCGCGCGGCCCCTCCCCCGCTCCTTCCCGAACCGCGCCGCAGCGATCGCAGACTATAGGGGAGGGAGTAGTGTTCTCTCCTACCGTTCCAGCGCCTCCGAGGGTGTAAGCAAGGTTATGATCTCCGCCTTCTTGGTATTGTAGGTCTCTAACGAGCTGGCATTATGTTTATTCTCTGAAACTCAGTTCTTCCAATCTTTTGCTGTATTTTGGAGGGGAGAGAATCCCGGGTCAGCTCACCCCGCCATTTTGCTCCGCCCACTCTCTGTCTGATACATGTTTTGAGAATATTTTCTCCCAGTCTGTGGCTTGTCTTTTTGTTTTCTATGAATTTTTCAAAGATTAAAAGTTTTTAATTTTGATGAAGTCCATTTTATCACTTTTTTCTTTTATGATTTGTGCCTTCTTATTGTCCTATTTAAGAAATCTTTTCTTAACCCAGGACACTAAAATTTTCTCCTGTGTTTTCTTCAAGAATTCCTATGGTTTTCTTCCTTTTGGGTTTATACCCTATTATGAATTTCTTTTCCCATATATAGTGTCCTGTAAGAGTTGAGAATTATTTTTCTGCCTGTGACACCATGAATTTAAAAGATTTTCCCTTTGCCCATTGAATTGTTTTGGCAACTTTGACTCAAATCAATTCACCCTGTACATGTAGGTCTATTTCAGGACTCTCTATTCTGTTCTATTGAGCTATATGACTATCTTTTCACCAATAAGAAAGTGTCTTGATCACTGTAGCCTGAGAATTAATTCTTCCAATATTGTCTTTCTTTTTTAAATTGCTATGGCAATTCCATATCCTTTGATTTTCGATATAAATTTTAGAATCAGTTTGTCAATTCCGCTAAAAAAGCCTGCTGTGATTATGACTGGGATTGCATTGAATCTATAGATTGAATTGAGGACAATTCATATCTTAACAATATTGAATCCCCTGATCCATGAACATAATATATCACTTTATTTCTTTAACCTCTCTCAACAATATCTTGTTGTTTTCATATATATCTTTTGTCCACTTTAGCCCTAATATTCCATATTTTATGCTATTGTATATAAGTATTTTTTTTAATGTAAATTTCCAATTGTGTGCGGCTGGTATTTAGAAATACAACTGATCTTTGTGTGTTCGCCTTGTATCATATAACATTGCTGAATTCATTTCTTGGTTCTAGCATCTTTTTGTAGGTGGAGATTACTTAGGATGTTGCAGATAGACAGTCAAGTCATATACATAAGAAGACAGCTTTCTGTCTTCCTTTCCAACATGCATGTTATTTCTTTTTCTTGCTGTATAAAACTGGTTGAGAACTCCAGTCTAATGCTTAATAGAAGTAGTGAGGGCCGACATCCTTGCTTGCTCCTGACCTTTGGAGAAAAGCATTCAGCCTTTCCAACATTAAATATTATATAAGTTGTAGATTTGTCATAAATGAGCTTTTATCAGGATAAGAAAGTTTCTTGCTATTCCTAGCTTCTGAGAGATTTTGTCATGAATAGATGCTAGCTTTTGTCAAATCCTTTTTTCTTCATCTACTGAGATAATCATATGGTTATTTTTCTTCAGTCTGTTAAAACGGTGAATTACACTGAACTCTAAACACTAAATCAATCTTGCAGTCCTACAAAAATCCCACTTGCAAGTGAGATATTATCCTTTATATATACTGAGGATTCAGTTTGCCAAAAATCTGCTACAACTGAGAAATTAAAACTCTGTAAAGCACTAAAATCCCGGAACATAAAAAAAAGGTCAGTATACATATGAATTCCTATCCAGAAGTAATAATTCTAAATAATGTCACATAAATTATAAATATAATTCAACTGAGACATCAGAAGAAAGAACCACCGATAATAACAAACTGCAATAACAGGAAGCAATAGGTCCAAAAAGTTTCATGTACAAACTGTAATGATTGAAGGAGTTTTTCTTAATTTCTCTGGAGGTATGAGGGGTTGTCAGGAGATCTTAGTTCCCTTTTAAAAACGGCTTGTTTATCAGCCTGACATTTTATAGCCCAACGATTATAGCTTAAAAAGCTAGTTATAAATCAAATTATATTCCCACTGGCTTGTATTATAAATGTTTCATATGTTTACAGTAAAAGTAGTTTTCAAAATTATACACTAAAAGAAAACTATAGTTTAATAATGTATCATTACTACTAACAATAGGTCACACAAAGTTCAAGACTTTACTGAAACCTAAAATTTTAACTTCTATATCTTTGAGACTAGTTCCCTATAGGGCTACAAATTCTTTAATGACAAGACCAGAAAAGCCCTATACTCAAGCATACTATCTCCATAAGCAATTTTTTTCCACTAAGTATGAACTTCTGCATGCAAATCAAGTCTTATCTTTTTAAAAGCTAATATAAACAATATAATAACAGACAAGAGTTGACATCTGGTACTTACTATGTACCAGGCCCTTCTATGCCCTTTATGTGTTTTATCTCATCTGATTCTCACAGTAACTCTATAAAATAACTGCTGTTGTTACTTACACTTTTCAGATAAGCAAACTGAACAAAGACAGATCACGTAACTTGCTCTAGGTTCACAGCCAGAACCTAGACAATCTGGCCCTGTGTCTGAGCTCTCACATTATATTGCCTAACAACATTAACTTACAAAATATAAGTTATACATTTGTACTGCAAAGACAGCCAGTGAAAAACTAATCTTCTCAAGGGCTTATCTACAGAAACAACAGAAAAACTTTTTGATTTCTACACAAGTTTTCAGCAGACAATTGAGGAAAGACCTTGAATTGTAAATTGTAACCTATAAAGTTTACCGAAATTTGACAACTCAAAAGGAAGGAAAAAACAAATACTAAAGTGAGATTAATGGGTTGACCTTCAAGTTTGACACTGTTTCACACTTGACGGGGCAAGTGCTCCTAAAACAAGCACAGATAATACAGGAAGACCATATCATACATGCTCTGCTTAAAAATCTTTTTGTATTTTACCTTTTGGTTTCGGGGTAAATCTTGAGCATGTGATGGAGGCTTTATAATTCAGGACTAATCTTCTAAATTCCAAAAGATTGAATAATGACTGAAAAAGAACAACAATTTAAGATAACTAAGGGAAAATTCTACTAAGAAAACCATAAAAATATGACGGGTCTTAGAGATTTGTTTTTGACAATTATACTGCTTATACACAGAACAGATGCAATTAGCATAAGACTATTTTCTCCCCAAGAGAAAGTCAAATTTCTTATACCTTAACATACTATTCTTGATCATTAACAATATTTATTGTGTTGCAAAGCAGAAAAGTATACATGGACAATGCAAAAATAAAACCCCACACCATATTATATTACTAAAGCTTTCTTTATATTACCACGTGCTTAACAGTTTCCTCAAAATAGAAGATAAACAAATGTAAAGTCTACAACTTTTCAGACACGTTATGTTCACTATGAGTTATCTAGACGTATCAATTCTACAAGGATATAGCACAAATAAACTTATAATAATTTAAATTTATTTAATAATAATATTATTATATATTATATTATAATATATTATTATATTATTTATAATATATTATATTATTTATTATATTATCTGTTATAATATAATGATAATTTATTTTATAAATAATTCTAATTCATTTAAAATAAACAAATTTATTTATAAATAAATAAATCAGATGCTCAGTGATAGCAGAGCAAAGAAATTACATATTATCTCTGTGCTCAAGGAGACACACAACCTAGAAGGAGACACACATATAATTATAACAATAGAAATATAATTCCAAGATACTCTAATTCAGAACATACAGAGCATAATGAGAGCATATGAAAGACGGCCGTGGGAAGGTTTCCTGGAGCTGTTTTTTAAACTATAACTTACAATCCATTAATGTTATCACGATGAACATGTTTAAAACATGAAATAAAATGCAATGGAAAATATCAGAACATATCATACACTGTAAATTCACCACAGGATATTGTTTGTAAAATTTTTCTTGTATATATTTTATATACATGTGTACATGTAAAGTGTTTTACAATGTAGACTGTCTTCCTTTCTGAGAATCACAGTTGATAAAGTTTGAAAATCACTGGACAGGAGGCAATGATGTATTAAATCTTAGTAAAGATGGGTTAGCCAACTTGACTAACACATAGATAAAGGTGGCACTACAAATAAAAACAAAGTTTTGTTTAGTAGGTGGGTGTTTGGAAAATTGGCCTAGTATATATAAGAAATAGAGTCAGATATAGATATATAGATATAGATGTGGATTAAAGGCCTAAATATGAAAGGTAAAACCATAAAGCTGATAACAGGAACTGTAGGAAAATATTTTGGTTATCTTGCGATCTGGAAGTATTTCTTAATGCAACAATATGAACATGAGATAATTCATTTATTTATTCATTTAGCAAATATTTATGGAGCACTCACTACATGGCCAGACACAAGGAAGACAGGCAAAAGAGAATAAAATATATTAAGTCTCTGCCCTGATCACAATCTTGTGATTACAAGTTAAAACAATGAGTATAGACGTTATAAATCAGAAAAAAAGTGAATACAATAATAGTAGACCAAGCTCAGAACCCTAGGGAAAAAGAATCATTTAAAAGCCAGAGGAACGATGAGAAAGACAAAATAAGAATAGTAAGGGAAATGGAGAGTATGAGATCACAGAAGAAAAAGGAGTAGAGAAACCAAGGGCTTTCACATATAGCTGTGTATCAGAATAACAGTGGAGCTTTAAAAGGAACCTGTGCCAGGGGCCTCTCAACAAAGACACAAAGTACCACAGAAGATTCTGAAGCACATCAAAGAATACCGGCAAATTTTAAGAAGGACAAGATGAGCATTACTCTCAAAGGTTGCCACATTCCAGTAAAGTAAGGGCAGGAAAAACAACCTTTGGATTTCTCAATTAGAAAACCATCTTTTCAGTAGAATGGGAGAAGAACAGCAGTAATAAGTACTGAAGAAATGAGATATAAGTAAGCGGGGCAAAGTACGGGCTGTTCTTATGAGGAATTTAAATTGGAAAGAGAATATGGACAAATTAGGAGAATCCCAGTCCTATTTCTGTGCTCTGAGTTCCCGCTGGAGAACATTTTCCTGCTTCCTGAACACCCAGTAGAATTTCATCTGGTGTAGGTCTGCTGGTGGTGAATTATTTCACCATCTGCTAAAATGAAAATTGTTTTTACTTCATTTTTGTAATATTTTTGCTAGTTCTAGAATTCTATATGGCCAGTTAATATTTCCAGCACTTTAAAGATTGCATTTCTGTTGAGAAGTCAGCTTTTAGATTTATTTTTGCTCCTTCATAGAGGTGATATATATCTTTTCCAACTGGCTACTTTTAGGATTTTCTCTTTGTCTATAGTTTTTTCCATTTTATTATCATATGCCTTGTCACAGTATTCTTTATGTCCATACTACTTGATTCCTATTCCTTCCTGAATCTGTAGCTCAATCTCTTTCATTAGGTTTTGAATACTCTCAGTCATTTCTTCAAATATTACTTTTGCCCTATTCTCTTTTTACTCTTCCTTGAACCACAAATACACTATGTTAGTATTATTCACCATGTTCAAAATCTCTTATATGCTCTTATCTGCATTTCACGGCTTTAATCTGAAAATGTTCTTCAGACCAACTGTCTAGCTGACTAATTCTCTCTTCAGCTGTTTCTAATATGCTGCTATAATTCATCCATTGATTTTGTGACTTTGTTATATTTTTCAGTTCTAAAATTTCTATTTTTTAATAGTTTTTAGTTTTCTATCAAAATTCTCAATCTGAAACAAACACACACATAGATAAGGAGAACAGATTAGCAGTTACCAGAGGAAAAGCGGATAGGGGGCAGGCAAAATGGGTAAAGGGGCACATGTGAATGGTGATGGATAAAAACTAGACTATTGGTGGTGAGCACAATGCAATCTATACAAAAACTGAAATATAATAATGTACACCTGAAATTTACACAACGTTAAAAGCCAGTTAGACCTCAATAAAATAAAAAAAAAAATCAAGAAAAAAATCCTCATTCTGGTTTTTAATTCCTTGAGCATATTAATAGTTATTATATCAATTCAATTTTCAGGTTTTCCTGTAGGCATATTTCTATTGCCCATTATTTTCTATTAATTTTTAGACACATCTTATTTGCTGATATGACTGATTACAGCTGATGTGAGTGCTAGACATTATACATGACGAACTGGAGAAAATTCAATGATGATATTATCTTCCAAAAGAATTTACATTTGCTTCTGGCAGGAAGCAAGAGTGAGGCCATTTACAATCCAAGATCAATTTCATCCAATCAATTCTGAGATGAAGGTGGAATTCAGAAACTATAAAGCACGCTTTATTTTCGGGTCTCAGTTAATCCTAGGTTCTAGCCCTTTATAATCCTAACTGAAAGTCTGAGGTGTTTACTAGGGCTCGAAATCTGTGCAAAACTTTGCTTAGTTTCCCAGCCATTCAGCAACTATTTCTGGAATTGCCTCGAGAATAAAATCAGCCCAAAATGTGAAGCTTACTCTCTGAACATCTTGTTTTCTCAAAGCTTAGCCTCAAAATTACTCACTGCTTTAGGGTTATGTGATGTCTTCAAAAAGCTGTTTTTGTTTTCATTTTGTTTTGTTTTGCAGTCCAGGAAAATATGGTCAAGAAGATGGTCTAGAACAACCTAACAAGTTATCACCCGAAGTAGAACTTGTGACCATCACACAAATCATAGAAATTAACTTTTTTAAGTCCAAAACACTCTGTACTCTAAATCACAGTCATAATAGTAGTGGTCAACATATTCCTCCAAAAGGGGTGGGAAAGGGTAAATATCACTACTGCCTAAATTGTGTTTATGATTGATGCACACTGAAAACAAGTATCCTTTCATTCAGTCTAGAGCTAAAATGTGAATTCTGAAGAGCACTTGCCAAAATGGACTTTGGCTAAACTCCTGCTAACAGCAGAGAGCTATGAGAGATGAGAATTCAAACAATTTGTGGAAAACAAAAAGAATAATGACAAGAGAGCCAAGGAAGATATCAACTGTCTGTAATGGAGGATACCAAGGAGAAGCAAGATAAATTCTCCTTGGTAGATTTAAAAAAAAAATGAAATGGTACCACGTAAGTTTCAAGGTAAGGTAGGGACTAAACGTAGATGGCCTGATTAAAAGATGAAAGTCTGGATACAGAGCAATCAAATCCCTCTGTCCTTCCCAGACCCAGAAGATCAGACAACTACTACCTCCTTGCATGGGATACAGAAAGTTTAGTCTTTGGATATAACTAAACTTAAGTGACTGAGGTTCAGAAAAATCAGTCACAGTGTGTGTCACGGTAGGGAGAGGGGATGAGATTCTGGGCTACAAATAGGAGGATTAAGTAAAAACTCGCCAACTGAGCCCCAATCGACCCTTCCCGGATCCCCTTTCTCTAGACCTGCTTCTGGAAAGCCAGCAACAGTGCTTAAAACAAAAAGAATCACAATCCAGTCTGGATTTGAGGCAGGGCAATCTTCTGTGGTAAAGTACTCCCCCAACCCCCCTAAAAATGGATCTAATATGTTCGAGCAAATAAAACATATTATTGATAAGACCATAACAGAGATGTTGGAGCATATAGAAAGTTTTAAGAACAAGTATATAGAAAACAGAAAGGAAAAATAATAGCAATTGACAATTCCAGGAAAACAAAAGATTTCAAAGGGGTAGTCGTAGTAAATCAGTGTAATATTTAAAGTCACAGAAAACATCAACACTACTGACTATTTTTAACTTGCAATATAAGTTATGTTGGGAGATGAAAGGAAAGGCAATTCTAGGTAGCTGAAATGAAAGAGCTAAATCCTCATTCTTCTCAGCAGGAAGGCATGTCATTTAGAAAAATGAGATAGGAGAAACAGCTAGAAGTGGCTGTAGTTGCCTTTAAGGAGTATGAGATAGGGAGGATTGAGGCTGATTACTGTTGTTTTTCACTGTAAGCCTTTTATTGCTATGGGATTTTGGTTTTCTGTTTGAACTATGTACTTACGTTCTTTGATGAAGATTAAAGAGATAAGAGCAAGTAATGTGAATAAACATGTTAAATGATATCCTGAGATTTTTTGAAAACTTGCCACATCTTTTCAATCCCATCCAGCATTAGGGGGATAGAAGCAATTAAAGTCTTCAATTCCACCATAAATAATATATGGTCCTTTTTGGTTCATTCACTCACTCATTCAATAATTACTTAAAAGTCTCCTCCAATGTGTCAGACACTGTACTATACACTGGTATAGAACAATAACCTAGAAGATATGTTCTCTGCCCTCAGGATGCTTGTATTTTAGTCAACCTGTAGTTACATGATTTATGAGTAGGGTGACCATATCCTTCATTATCCAAGGATGAAAGAGGGCTTTATGACTAATTAACAGGCACTAGTGGATCTACAAGAGGAATAAACTGGACTGTACCAGACAAACTGAGAAGCATGAGCACCTTACTTCTGAGCATCTCAGAAGCATCCAAATAGGAAAGGTGCTAAGGATCATCCTGAGAATCTACGGATTACACTCCAAACTAGAGAGAGAGGAGAATACATACCTCTAAATAACTACCTCATTCACGGATACCCTAGTGGAGAAAGTAGCCCCACTTAGTACTTTTTACATAAAAATTCATTTGAACAGGATTAAAACAGTCCTGACTAGATAAGGGGTCGATGCTCAATCTAAAGACAGTCAGGCTAATATTGCTAGCATCCAAAAGACTATTTAAGCTATTCTCTGTAAAATCTTCTCTTTGCTTCTTATAATCCCTTTCTGATACTCTACCACTTTTCTCCCAAATTATCGGTCCCAATAGCTAAAAGAACAAGTACAATAAAGCTCTACCTTTTGTAGCCTACTCCCACTACCTACTCCAAAGTTAGCAGTTTATAATCTCAGTAACCTTCTGTAATTGGTAGATATACTTAGAAGGAAAAGAATCCCAGTTGCTTCCTACAAGTCCTGCCAACTAAGTAAATTCCATCCCTGAGAAATTTTGTAATTGAAACTTTATAGTACATTTACGTCACAGTTTGAACAAGCTCCAACTCACTTTGGAAAATATAATAAAACACTTCCAACACTAATACAGACTTCCTGCCCAACTTTTCTTTCATAAGTGAGAAGTTCCAATTATGATGATAAACTGTTATATCTCAGATTATGTCTATGGAATTAAGGAATAATGTCAGAAAATGAAAAAATAAAAAGTTTTTATTACTAGAGATGAAAATAAAAAACTACTTAAAATAGAATAATTATAGTAAGGAAAAAAACAAAACCACGAAGTGATCTTCAGACAAATTTTTTCCCATCCACAATTTTCCAAAATTTGACGCTTAACATTTTTTTCCAAATCCCCAAGTCAATATCTTAATAATTCACTATAATTCAAATTTTTTAAGGTTAGAGGTTACTTCTCCTAGGTGTCTAAATCTCTCCAAAAGAAAAAATAAGTAATTCCAAAAACCTTATACTTGCCTATGTTAGGAGTGTGGTAAAGCCATGCTACCAGTTAAGTAGCCACTAATCTAAGATAAAACTTAGAAATCAGTAAAATTACTTCAAATTTTGAAAACAAGCGATTTTTCTAGTTCATTCTGCTCTCTACCAAAAAACACCAAAAATTTGAAATGTAAAGCAAAATCTAAGGTCAGCAAATAACACTTAAGATAGAAATAGATAGACAACTGATTCAAATTTGAATTAAGATATGAGAGGAGTTTAGCCTATGAAAATGATAAGTTATGATCCCCATACCTATTAATAGTAATTTAGTTATCATTTCAAACCAGGCTTCTTACAATATGCTGTAGAAAAATAAAGAACTCCTCTTCTAACAAACAAATATTGATTATTTCCAAGTACTTTCTTTCTTCTTAAAGTTTTCTAAGAGAAGTGTCTAATCAATGAGCCTCACTTATTGGCCATAATAGTGCAGAGATAGCATCCACTTGTCCAAATAGAGGCAGCGAAGCATATTCATGAACACTCAGATCACAGCCTTCATAGTGAGCTTCATATTTTAAAATGATGTCTAAATTATAAAATTTAGATTGGACAGTGAAATGTAAAACCCCTTACTAATAGTGCAAGTAAAGTAAAGCAAGATAGCCTATCAGGAAGATCTAAGAGACTCTAAGATAGCAAAGAAAATGTTAGATATTGTTGGGATGTAAGTGAATAATTAATGTGTAATCAAGGCTAGGAACAAAGCTATTATTACAGATTTAGGTTAATCCAGGTATTCCTTAATATTTCAAGAGCTTGGAAAACAAATATACATACATACTACATGCTAACTAGTGTTTACCATAGTATACTGAAGAGTGAGGCATAAATCCAGAAAGCTAAAGGAAATCAAATTGCATGGTATCATGTGCCAGAAGCAAAAAAAGTGGGGGAAAAAGTTGAAATTTATTACACTGAAGTGGAAAAAATGGTAAAATTACAAATTAATATCCTATAGAACACAATTAACCTTATAGAAAATGAACTACATAACCAAGTTAGCTGCTTTAATATCACATGAAAATTTACACTGTCATACATACAGGTTTGGAAAGCTACAAATGAAGAGATATTTTTAATATAAAAAGAAGTGGCATAGACATCAAATGATTTTATTATTTATTTATTTATTTATTTTGAGGAAGGTTAGCCCTGAGCTAACTACTGCCAATCCTTCTCTTTTTGCTGAGGAAGGCTGACATCCATGCCCATCTTCTTCTACTTTATATGTGGGACGCCTACCACAGCATGGCTTTTGCCAAGTGGTGCCATGTCTGCACCCGGGATCCAACCCGGCGAAGCCTGGGCCGCCGAGAAGCAGAACATGCGCACTTAACCATTGTGCCACTGGGCCGGCCCCTACATCTAATGATTTAAAAAGTACTCATCAGGAACACTAATTAATAAGCTACAATTCTACTGTATTAGCAAAATAAACATAAATATTAATTTTCCTAAAGGGTTATTATTCATAGATTAAGGAGATTGTCAAGGTTTTGCAATCTAATAACATTATTAATGTCTAACTGAGAATGGTAAAGAATTATGACAATAGTCATCACATAAAAGAGTAAGAAAAAAAAGAAAAGAAAATTAGTTAAAATTGAGAAGAGGACAGATATCTATGCATACAAAGATTTTTCATTTTAGAATAAGGGGCTCAAAAAACATTCCATTAAGGGCTTCCCAAGTTAGAAGGAACATGTGTTATTCTTGATTCATCAATATTTATTCTTTACATCATTTTCACCTATACATTGAGAATTATCTGCCAATCTATACCTTCCTCAAATGAAATGCTTCCTTGTATTAAAAATAGTATTTAAATGACTATAATTCTATGAATAACACTTTCCATTATATACAAATAAATCTAATCACAAAAGAAGCAGTTCTAATTTCACATCTTGGTTACATCCTTCCCTTAATTTGCAAGACATACAAAAATATTTTCTTTACATTCTGACAACAATTCTTAGCTGGGAAGGAGGAGAAGTTAATTCAAAATAATTTCAAATAAAGCACAGATAGTACTCTATTGTTAAAACTCCATACTGGGAGAAGGAACAGAGTGGGGTAGGGAATACTGCAATCCCCAAACTAGTTTATTAGATAGAAAGGCATATTAAAACTTAGCCTGCAGTTATGTTTCACGTATACAACTTAAAAGAAACACAACCCCAAGCCAGTTTCTATTGCTATCGTGCCCACCAAATAAGATCTGCAAAAAGACCCTTACCTGAATAACAGCACTAAACCAGCAAGTATTACCCACATTCTTTAGTCCAACAGGAGCTTTGTCCTGCCTGTTTCTATCGTAAGGGTTTCGAGAATCCCTCCAAACCTCCGTAGGTGTCCTCTTCAAACAGGCTTTATTTTCTGCTATGCTGGCTTCAAGAACACTTAAGCCATGGGGAGAAAATGATGAAAAAAAAATAAAGTATTAATCTAGTGCCGTACCCTAGGAAATAGCATATCACAAACTATTTTAATTACTTAAGCTCTGGATAACGTATTTGAGGAAGTAATATTTAATGCCAACTTTACTCAAGTAGAGGTTAGCTTTCTTTAAGAATATAGCAGCGGCAATGCCAACAGATCAAGAGACATGCAGTTTTCCTCAGAAAAATGAAATTTCAAACACAAAAAGACAATGTTACATAATATAGAAAGTATGTTAAATTATGTCAACCAATTACAAGTTTAGTACCAGGAATATAGCACCTAGACAAGTTTTCTGAGTAATCGCTTTATTAAAGTATATATTTAAAATATAACATAATGACTAGTTTTTATAACAATTACTTTGAATCATCAAGAAAACATCAAAAACTGGACAAACTGCACTTTTACTCCTCTGACCATTAATTTCCTTGCCTATAAAAAATGTTAAATAACGTAAACTCTGGGATTCTTTTCAGTTCTAGATATCTATGACTCTATGACAGTTAAATAAAGGCAGAGAATACTTAGCGTTCACTTCTTCACCCAAAAGTTTGCCTAGCGAAAAATCTAGTGAAACAAATATCTACACATCAGAATAACAAAAGGTTAACCTCCTGAAAATAAACTCAGCCTACAGAATATCTTAAATATATCTAAACGCAGCAAGAGTAATGCTACTTTGCTCAATGACGTTTTTCTTGCTCTTAAGCAAGAAAATACATGCTGGAAAACTGCCTGCTCAAGACATGTGTTACTTAGTGTTCTAAATAAGCCTTAAGTAATATTCAGCTGTCTTAACCCATTTTATGTTAATTACAAAAACCTCAGCAAGAATGAGTTTTTCCAATTTTTTGGCTTCCTGAGATAATCTCATTCATGCTACATCATCTTTATGCTCAAGATTTTGCCCGACTAGATCAATGTCAAAATAATATATCTATGTTTCTTAATGATGGGGAAAAAGTGAATTGTTGTATTAGCTCTCACTGCAGTATTTGCAACATGACATTAGACACAATGTAATAGGACTCCCAATCATCATTACTTAAAATAACTTATGTGAATATAGAATAAAGTCTTTCTTTGGGACACAACAAAACCACATACTAAAAAAAAGTAAGTAACAACAACAGTTGTTAAAATGTAAAGGTCAAAGTAACCTTATATACTTAAAAATAAACGGGTTACACCTCTGTCACTTTTAAGTGTGATCCATCATTAGCAGCAGTATTCTCTGCCCCAAAACTAACTCTCACATGCACCCTCCACCCCTGG